CTAAGTGTGTTGACATAGCCATTCTTGCTGTCACGACCCAAACCCGCCCCTATAAGTTTAGCATCGTAACCAGCCAGTAATCCTTGGATTACCGAAGGCCTCTGAACAGAATAATATATAAACAGGGGCTGTAGAAGCAAATATACTAAACATACATAGTCCATACAGCTATGCAGACATATGTGGGACATAAAATTTTCAAAACAAACTTATATATATATATATACAGATGTGGCGTCGAAAATACATTAGTCTTACGTCACCCAAGCCACTTATACAAAACTTCTAAACGTGTTCAGACCAGACATAAGCATTTAGAAGGTACAAAAGTCCCAAGGACACAAAAACTTGAGCAGATTTCAAAAGGGAACCTCCATGGGAGGCATAATGGCTGGCTGACACCAAAACTTACAAGGCAGCAACTTAGGCCTGGTCACGGGCATGCTCACCTACATACATACAAATAAATAGTGAACGGAAGCCCAGTGAATAATAACAAGGTAAAGGGTTTCAATGAATGATGTCTATCACAGAGTTAAAAATCAGAGCTTATATTAGAAACATATTCAGGTTTCAAATCAGAATTAGGTTCATATACACGTTCATATTCACATTCATATTCAGATTTCTCATAAGATCATACGTGGTACATCCATTAACTATCATATTAACTTGGTCCTGAAACACACATATATATAGTTGGTACCGACAACCATAAAGGCCCATATCTTGCGTACAAGTAGCCATGGTATTATTACCCCCATACGAGGGCCACATGAATATAAGCCTCGGTATTGTTACCCCCGGGCAAGGGCCACGTGAATATAAGCCACAGTATTGTTACACCCGGGCAAGGGCCACGTGAACTAAGGATGCCACAAATATATTTCAGAAAAATGAACATTCATTCATAATTCATAAAATAGCATTTCAGAAAACAAATCGTATCATATCAGTCAGAAAATACTTGTAATTAAACATAACTTTACAGACTTATTACTCAGCATTAACAGATGGCTCCAAGTAAACGAGTAGAGTAGGTAATTCACTTAACTCGTGGCGTGTGACCTACATAACATGACAGAGACATACATTGAAACACACGCTCGAATTGCACAGAACACATTTTTTTGTCCTAAGTGTGTTTCTAACGTTTATCCTCATTATAATGTCTTAATCATGGCTTAGGAATGCCTAGGATGGAATGAGGATGCAAAAATATACTTAAAAACATTTTTTAAAACTTGTTGAAAACAGGGTCCATGCTCGAGCGGACATACAAAATGTGAGGGTCTACTCAAGCGTAACTTCCTTCGCTCGAGCGGTTTGTAAACTTTGGCAAAAGTGCTGGTTACTTGTTTTTCACGCTCGACAGATGCTCGATCCCTACTCGAGCATGAGACTCAGACCTTTGCTCGAGCGTGACTTTTAAACATTTGAACTACTAGGTACATGCATTTCACGCTCGAGCGGAAGTGCACGCACTCAGAGTGATCGCTCGAGCATGAACTCCTACGCTTGAGCGTAGATGCAAATTCTGGAATTTTCAGATTTGATCTCCAAGCTTCAAATTCGTACTAAACACTTCAAAGCTCCACATTTCGGGCCAAAAACTTGAGGAATCACATGTGAACTTGGAAAACATCATGATATAAGAATCATTACTCAAAATCAAGACCCAATTGACATATAATTATGTAACAATTCAACTTAAAATGCAAGAACATGCTCTATATATGTCATGCATGTAATCACCTAAGTTCTTCACCTCCAATACTTGATCAAATGAGGCTCAAGGGTGAGAAATGTTATGAATTCTTCAAACCATGCTAGATGTATAACATGCATGAGAGAAAAGTCTTTGAAAACATCTTCAAAACGTCTTAAATATGCATGCATATATGGAATGACTTATCTTCCTTAAATTTTAACTTAATCCTTACATGAATTCATCTAATTCACTTGAATCCTTGTAAAATCTAATTCAATTACACAATTAAGAGTTTGGTCTCTTACCTAAAGTCCACAATTCCCTTAGATTCTAGCTAGGCTCAACAATCTATCACCAATCCCTTCCAATTCTTGCCCACTCTTAGCAATTCTCTCATTCCCTCTTTAAATTAAGCTCAAGCTTCTCCTTTTCCCTCTCTGACACATTTGGAGCTTAAAGGTGAGGAAAATGAGGTGCAAAGTTGAACTAGTGGGGTCATATATGGCTCATTTGGTGATAATTAATCAAAGTTAATCAAATGGCATCAAATTAATCTAATTTAATCGCTTTGAACCGAATTTCAATTGGACCTACTATAATATTCTAAAAATTCTAAATAACATATATACCAAGTCAATTTCGTGATCGGATGCCGATAAGACCTTCGATTCACAAAATGTAACAGAAATTTCAAGCAGATACTACTACAATGAACAGATAAAACACAAATAATGCAACACATATGCAATTAATTCAAAATATGATCTTAATAACTTATTAAGCATATTAAATCATGGTTTATCGTTAATCTTGAGTCAGGGTTGTTACACTTGCTGAGGTTACTGCCAATTCAACTGGTAACACAACTTCGGACCCATACACTAGGGAAAATAGAGTTGCTTGAGTTGGCTTTCTCTTTGACGTTCTATAAGCCTAGAGTGCTACGAGGAGTCGTTCAGATCATGTGCCCCCTACTTCATCCATCATTTTACTTGGTATTCGGATGAGGGTTTTGTTGGTCGCCTCAGCTTGTTCGTTCTCTTGGGAGTCGTATGGACTAGACTTGTGGTGCTTGATTTGGTAGGCATCCAGCAGCTTTCCAACATGGCGATTTACAAAAGGAGTTCCGTTGTCAGACAACATCACTTTGGGTATGCCAAACCTATAGATTATGTTCTCTTTGATGAAGTTGGCTACTCATGCCGCATCTGCCTTCTTCATTAGTATAGCCTCTACCAACTTGGTGCTAACTTTAGTTGCTGCAAGTATCCATCTGTAGCCTTTGGACTGCTGCGCTATAGGGCTTACCAAGTCAAATGCCCAAGTATGGAACAGATAAGGAGTCTTGATGTTGTGCAGTTCAACTGGCGGTGCACGTATCAAATTCCCAAACTTCTGGCAGGATTGGCATCTCCTCACAAAGTTTTTAGCATCTTCTTCCATTGTTGGCCAATAGTTGCCGAGGTGAATGAGATATCCATATAATCACTGCCCTTCTTGATGCTTTGTCTTGTGGGCTTCCCTCAACACCTCATTTGCCTCATCTTTTGATAAGCACGCTAAAGGTTCCCCCTCAAAGCTCCTTCGGTACAGCTTGCCTTGGTCAAGGAAGAAGTTGAGGGCTCACCTCTTAACTCTAATTGCATCGGCTTTGTTCTCAGGCTGTGTGCCATTTCAAAGATAGTCGATATATGGCTGCCTCCATTCTTCATTACTTAAGAAATGCGCTTCCTCTTCCTTAGGATGGGACTGACACTTTGCACATTGCCTCTGCAACTCAGTACTTTCCTTCTCCATCTTTGGCCAATAATACTCTTACCTCTGTATTTGTCGGTATAGACTGATATCTCCATCTCCACAGGACTTAGCATGGATCTGCTTAAGTCTGTAAGTTACTTCTTGTCTATCGACGCATCTTGCCAGCAAGTTGTTGGGACCGCAAAAATAAAACTCTTCTCTGAGGAGGAGAAATAATGCAAGTTCTGCTAGTCTGATTGTTTCCTGGCCTGTTTTCAGCTGTTGGATTATATCTGCTCTCCACCCCTCAGCATCTTGTTTTGCATGTTCTTCGGTTAGCACCGCTGGTGTTGTTCTTTTCTCAATGACGATGGCTATATTGTCATCTGGTATCTCTACCTTTTGCCCCCTAGTGTAGCCAAGGCATCGGGGAAACGGTTATATGTTCGAGGGGTATGCTGGATTTGGACATCATCAAACTAAGTGAGTAACCTTTGAACTACAGTGCGATATGGGGCCAACATGGGCTCCTTCAATATGAAATCACCCATCGTTTGCTTAACAACTAACTTGGAGTCGCCCTAGATTTTCAACTTGCGGTGGCCCTTCTTTTGGGCAGCTATCAGGCCCAGTATCAACACTTCATATTTAGCCTCGTTGTTTGAACACTCAAAGTCAAGCTTATACGATAGATGAAATTTCTCTCCTTCTTGACTAGTTAGTGTTACACCAGCTCCACCTTTCCCAGCTTCTGAAGCTCCATCAAACTTTAAGTCCCAATAAGTCTCAATTGCAGCTGCTGAGACATGGACCTCACCTGGTAGAGGTACCTCTGCAGGTTCATGTTCGCTAAATGGGAACTGGGCCAGTAAGTCTGCAAGTGCTTGGCTCTTAATAGCCTTAGGAGTGTCACAAGTGATATCATATTCTGCTAGAACCAAGAGCCATCTTGTCATTCTCCTAGTCAGAGCGGGCTTGCTTAGCAAGTAGCGAACTGGATCACTCCGGGTCACAGCCTGGATCGGGTGTGCCAAAAAATAGTGGCGCAACTTCTGCGCTGTGAAGATTAAGGCTAAACAATGCCTCTCAATTGGAGTATATTACGACTCGGTACCATTGACTTTGCGACTGATCTAATGGACTGGCTTCTCAATTCCATCTATGTCTTGGACAAGTAGGGCTCCAATAAACCGAGGAGTAGAGGTCAAGTACAGTAGCAGAGGCTTCTCAGGCTGTGGGGCAATCATTGTAAGTAGGGAGGTAAGTGCTTTCTTCACCATATCAAATGCCTGTTGGTGTTCTTGCAACCATTCAAACTTGTGATTCCCTTTTAGCAGTGTCCCAAATGAAAAGGTTATCTCAGCAAGGGCTGGAATAAACCTCCTGAGGTATGACACTTTACCTAGGAATTTCTTCAAAACTTTTTGAGAGTGTGGCGGTGGCATCTCCATGATTGACTTGATCTTATCCCCATCTACTTCAATCCTCCGCTGGTGTACAAGGAAGCCAAGGAACTTGCTGGCAGTAGCTCCAAAGGCACACTTGAGAGGGTTCATCTTGAGGCAGAATTTGCGGCAACGCTGAAATCTTTCTCCAAGTCGTAGAGGTGGCGGTTCGCCTTAGTAGACTTGACCACCAGATCATCCATATATACTTCTACTTTGTAATGCAACATGTCATGGAACACTGCAGTCATAACCCGTTGGTAGGTTGCCCCTGCGTTTTTCAAACCGAAGGGCATCACCGTATAGAAAAAATTTCCCAAGGGCATTTTGAAAGTTGTCTTTTCTGCATCTTCTGGTGCCATTTTGATCTGGTTATAACCACTGAACCCATCCATGAAAGAGAACATCCGATGGCCTGCAGTTGAATCAACAAGTGTATCAACATGGGGTAATGGAAACTCATTTTTCGGGCAGGCCTTATTCAGGTCGCGAAAGTCTACGCAAACCCTGATCTGACCATTGGTCTTCTACACATGAACAATATTTGTTAGCCAAGTTGGGTATTATATAGGCTCAATGAACTTGGCCCGCTACAACTTTTCTACCTCTGCTTTAATCATTGCTTCAAGATCAGGGTGATACTTTTAAGCGTGTTGCTTGATCGGTTTAGAGTTGGGAAAAGTATCCAGATGATGAGTAACGAGGGATGGGTCAAGACCAAGCATCTCATCATATATCCAAGCAAAGACATCACTGTATTGCTTTAGTAGTGTTATCAATTCTGCCTTAGCTGCTGGAGCCATTATATCACTGACAAACACCGGCTTGCTTTGCCCAGGTGAGTCACTGAGGTTGACCTCAGCAAGTACCTCCTGCTGGGGTTTAGGCTTATCTTGCATACATTCAAGAGCAGGCTCAGGCGTTTCCACCAACCCTTCTTGAGACTCATCACCGTCACATTTATTCGTCTTGGGGCCATCCTCCCAACGTATGAAGTTTGGCCCCCAAAATCGTTATAGGTAGTAAACTATTTTGTCGTCCTCGCGCACCTTGACGATCTTGGGCGGAGGACTTGTGGATTTGTTGCTCCTTTTCTGTTCACTACTTTCTAGAGTAGCCTTTACACCTTGAATGTCTTCCCACTTTGGCAATTTTACCCCTGCAATTTTACCAGTCCTTGGAGTTTCATCCGTTGACAATTCAGTAAAGAAAACTGCATTCGAATAGTGTGCCTCTTCCACTCTGAATGGCTTTTCAGACACGTTTATGGTAACTATGCGCTTTCCCAACTTTGCCTTCACACATTGGTGATAATTGGAAGGGATAGCCCCATATCGGTGCATCCAAGCTCAGCCAAGTATCATGTGGTAATTTGTATTTGCTTCAATTATATGGAACTTAGTCGCGGAACAAATCTCGCCAACTGCTAAGTCCACTACAACATGGCCTTTAGTGACTTTTTTCTCACTACCAAAACCCGTTATAGTAATGGGTTGGCGAACCATTCTGGACTCTAGGATACCAGCCTTTGCAAAGGTGTTAGTGGTAATGATGTTTATGGATGCCCCACTATCAAGGAAAGCACGCTTGAACTCAACATCATTGATGTAAGTTGTGATGAAAAGAGAGCGGTTATGAGGAAATGGGTATGCTCTGTTTGCTTCTGAAAAAGTAATGCGCCCATAATCTTCCTGGATACGTCGAGGCACATACTCCTTAGCCTCAGCAACTTCAGCATGGTGCATTTCAGAGATGTTAATGAGGGCCTTTGTTGCTTTCATCCTAGCGGCTTGGCTTAGCCTTAGTTAGTCAAAGAAGGTGCGAAACTTAACAGAATTTTGCAAGGCTTGAGCATGAGTATCCTTTGTGGATTTCACCTCTGTAGGTACTGTTTCAGAGAGCTGGCCAGTTGCGATTTCTTCTAACTCATCATAGTAGGATGCCATGTGCACTTGATTACCCACAGGCCCAAGATAGCCAATCATGTGTACATTCTTCCCCTTTTCCTTGTGGTTAGGATAAGGGTCCTTCCGTACATCGCGATTACCGGCATCTTTGAACTTCAGCTTGTTCGCGTCAACTTTCTTCTTGAAGATACTTTTCAACGTCCAACAATCCCTAGTGGGGTGTGTGGTGTTAGATATAATAATCTGGGCTTTCTTTATCCTTCTTGGTTGGAGTAACATTAACCGAAGGCAAAGTAAGTTCACCATCAGCGACCCATTCTTTAACCAAGGCCTTAACATTCTCAAGGCTACAAGAATATGGATTCTTGTCCTCATAACTCTTCCTCTTTCGAGAGGATGAGGCCTTTGCTTACGAGCGGCTCCCTCTTGTAGAGGTTACCGCTGCAACTCTACTACTGTGGGAGTAACGGTGGCTGTCACAAGATCTGTGTAAAGGACCAGTGGTACTGAGGTTTCTAGCTGCCTTAATCAAGGCTGAAAAGGTAGGCAGATTATGGTTCACCAAGAAAATTTTGTAGTCGCGTATGGCACCCTCCACACATATGCTGACTAAGTGAGTTGCCTTGTCTTGGAACCGCTTAACAAAATCCAATATATCCTTGCCTTCTTTTTGGACATCTCGCCCAAGTGTTAGGGTTGTGACTTTCTCTTGGACTTGGAAAAACTTTGTGTGAAACTTGTTCACCATTTCTTCCCAACTCTTGATCGAGTTGGGAGCCAAGTTCACATACCAACTGTAAGCCTTTTCGGTGATTGATTTGAGAACTCCCGAAGGCGTAGAGAGTGGTCACTGTCACGGACACCAAGAGTTTCAATGAACCTTACCACATGTTCCCTGGCATTGCCTTGTTTTCCATCAAACTTAATAAACTTGGGCACTGTATACCCAGTTGGGTATGGCATAGTCAATATCTCCTAAGAGTATGGGGGCTTCATATCTGGGTCTGGGAGAGATGGTAGTTGCTTCTTGCTGTGCTCTTGCTCGAGCATAGCTTGTACATTGGCTAGAGTAACGAAGTGAGTGGGCTGGAATGGTCCAATTTGCTCCTGGGTAGCTGAACTAGCAACTGTACCGTTCGTCTGAGGTACCACCAGAGGCACCTGGATCGGAGCCTGAACCTCAGGGAACGAGTTAGGCACTGGGTTTAGGACTGCTACGGGTGAAGGTGCTTGCACTGGAGCTGGTCTAGAAACCATGGCCATAATAGCCTCAGTGAGAGTTTGTAAGGTTGCCAAGATCTCCCTCTGCGTATCCTGGAGTGACTGAAGTGCCTCAATCATGACTTTGTTGTCATGGTCCTCCGCATGTGCTGCTCTGCCATTGGAAGAGCCTTACTGTCGCGGGAGTTGCTGAATTTCATCATTTGCCATCTTTTCCAGTGAAGTGTGTAAACCACTGCGGGTATGAACCATCAACAAAGTAGTCTCCCCAGCAGAGTTGCCAAAAATGTAGGGGGGGTTCAAGGTTAGAGCGGTGATTAGAGAGGCAAAACTATGTTAATGGTCCAATAAGGGTAGAAGTGGCTGGAGAATGAGTAGCAGCAACTATCCGGGAATTAGAGAGCATGTAGCTAGGTGAGGGTGAAGCAAAATGGCCTAAGGAGAAGTGTATGACAGTACCAAATTGGGCAGCATGTCCCCTAAATCTCCAAAATTCTTATTTTAAACCTTAGGAAATGGGTCCTATTTATGGGCTTTTCCTTGGTACCAAGAGGACACCAAGTGGCCAAATAGAGAGAAGACACGTGTCCCAGAGGATCACATGGAACGTTCTACCTTAAGCCACCAGGCTGAAGGTGCCACGTGTCCCTCTGCATGTACTGTATACTATATGTTTGCCTCTGCAACTACCTTTTTTTAGTCTCACCATGCATAGTTGCAACGGGAGTGTTTGGCGTTGCAACTCCCTTTCGAGCCTCAATAAGTGCAGTTGCGGCGGAAGCTTTTGCCTCTGCACTTGCCTTCTCAGCTTGAACCTCAGCAAGTGCACTTGCAACGGTGAACCTCGTCGCTGCACTTGCCTTCTCAGTTCTATTTGGCCAGTACATGTATTCTCAGGACTCCATTAGTCTGCTATCGATTATGTTCATGCTCACCTCAGCGAAGCCTCCACCCTTAGCCACCTAACCATAAACTCCCCAGCTTTCCAGGGCGAAGGCCACAGCCAGGCCTGCTATCAGCCATGCTGTGCCTTAGTACCAAGCCTAAGGGGGCTTCCTTAGTCTTGCTTGTGCGACTAAGGCAGGTCCATAACCTGGGTAATGGAAAGGGAGCCCCTTATACTCGGGCTACTCTGCTCCCATCTTTGCGGGGTTGTCGCGGTAAACTGGTCTGCTATTAGCTCCAACCAGTAAGTCTTGGGGCCTACTATCAGCGCTAGGTTAAATGAACTGTAGGGCTTGCTATCAGCCCTAGGCCAGTAATGCCTTAGGGCATGCTGTCAGCGCCAGACATTAGCCTCTACTTGCAGAGGGAAACCTCTCTCAAAGGGTGCTATCACCTTGGCAGGATATTCCCTCTGCAACTTAGTTGCTGCGGTTGTCATTTCCCTCGGCAAGTTCAGACGGCATGACCGAAGATATTAGAGATGGCGGCGCCATTAGAATGCCTCCGCAACTTGGGCACTGAAAGTTTGCCTCTGCAACTTAGTTGCCTCGATTTTCTTTTTCCCTCGACAACTCCAGATAATCGTGACACCGACATTACTTGGGATGGCGGTGGCACCGAAGATACTTAGAATGGCGGCGCTAAGACAAGGTGCCTCAGCAACTCTGCCGTTGTATATGTTCCCTCGGCAATTTCAAATGGCGGCGGAACTGAAGTTAATAGGAATGGCGGCGCTGAGGAAAAGTGCCTCAGCAACTTTTTCGCTGCACATGTTCCCTCCGCAACTTCACCGCTGTAGGCGTTGCCTCTACAACTTGACTTAGGCATTTTTCCTCGCTGAGTCCATCTGGAGCCCTGGTGGGTCGGACCTACCTCGGCCCACTTGTTGACTCACTTCCCTTGGGCTTTGGCTCATGCTCCTTTTTTATCCTTGGTCGCCTTTTTAGGATGATCTTAGTGCTTGGGTCCATGCTTAGTTTGGGGTTTAATTTCTGACCCTCTACAAAGTGTAACAAACAACATGTCAACATGGTGTTCTAATTATTCACCCAAAAAAAAAGTGTTCTGAGGAAAGAGTCAAAGACCAAGACAAAACAAATGATATCAACGAATCTACTTGATTATAACACATCAAGTACTAGTATATATCTTTTCTATTTATTTTTCAATTTTTGTTTGTTATAAAAGAAAATGAAAAAATAAAAATAAAGTATAATTACATAGACCTTATTTGTTTGACAAATTAAATAAAATGAGATTATGAGTACGGTGAAATTGAATGAGAAGATTATTAATATAATGATATTATTAGTAGTTAAAGATGTATGATAAAAAGTGTTTGTTTGTGTACTAGTGTGGTGATATTAGTTTGTTAGGATTAAATATATAAAATTACGTAAACACTCTCATTGTATAATAATTAGCTTTGTTGTTTTCGTAATATTAAGGGAAAAATTTTCTTTTTATACCTAATCCAATGGGCTTGGATTACCAATCTCACCCCTTCCATGAGAAATCTAATCTCACCACATGGGGTACGTTGTCCCATGGGACTACTAGTCTTCTTTTATTTTTGCCAACCAAATATAGGTTATGTAAAACCTACAGGATTATTAGTCTAATCTCCTTACCTATGAAGCTAAACAAATATGATCATAGGATGATCTTTGAAGTGAGACTTAAATAGAGTCAATGCTCTAGAGGTCATTTTTAAGTAGTGCTATACAACAAAGTCATTTACAATATGTCTGGTTAGAGGATTTGGAAAGAGATTTAAAAAAGATGTGTGAAATTATGTGAAACATAAGTATATTTTATTTACATTTTATTTTTCTTTTTTATTTTTCTTTCCAAATCCCTTCTCAAAGCCAAGTAGATGAAAAGGGTATTTTGGTCTTCTTATCTCAAATTGGACCTAATGGAATAGTCAAAAAGAATATAGATTGGATGGAATAAAGCTCTTAGAAAATGGATTTATCAAAAAAGCTCCCTAAAAAAAACTTATTTGGCGGCTTTCAAAATGAGGCGTGGGAGTAAGTCCTGAACTCACAAATGGATGAAAATTCAAACTTACATTCTTGACACAAGTACGGTTCACCGCATGACGCCAAAATCTGTTTTGGAAAACTGAGAAAAGAGCCAAAAATTAACATGAGGTGGTTGCTACGTGCGATCCAACAAAAACAACCTCAATCCTCAAGTTGCTTTTCATGAGCTAGCTACATGGCATCACCTTCTCCACATCTAATTTTGAACTTTTTTTTTTTCTTTTTTTTTCTTTTTCTTTCTAAATTAAATATTTTTTCTTTTCTTTCTTTATTTATTTTATTTTTTGAATGGTAAACAACCCCTCCTTTCAATATAAGTCGTTTATCTTCATTTTTTTTTTCTTCTTTCTCTTTGTCCAATTTTCATTGCTTTTTAAATTTTGAGGGATACAATTGTTCATGCTTTGGTGCATACCTTAAACATACACAACAATTAAACTGTATAAAATGTTAACTATACACCAATCTAGTTGAGTCAAGTCAAATCGATTGAGTAATAAATTATTTAAATTTATTCTGAAAACCTAAGAATCATCAAATTTATTTAAATTTGACTTTTTTCCATTCAAGCTGTGCAATCTCAAATGACTGATTTCTATAATACTTATAAATCTATTAAGCTGAATTCGTGACAAGCTCAAAAAATTAAAGAATTTTAAA